TAGACTTCGACATTAGCATTGGCATCCATTTAGTGCATGTTTGGTTTTCAATTTACCAAAAATTCATTTGGTGAAAATCCATTTGGTGAAAGTCAATTTAGTGAAAGTCAGTTATTATAACGAAATTTATATTTGAATATATTTTTAAAAAAAATTAGTTTGGTACACTGAAAGTTGTTTAGTTTGTAATAGTGAAATGTGCTTTTGAATATACAATTACCAAAAAAAGCATTAATTTATAATAATTTATAATTTTTATTATACAAATGTAATATATTTGAAATATTTAAAAAAATGTGATAAAAATTTTAAATAACATAAATTTTAATCTATAATGCTAAAAATTTGATCTTTAGTTATTTGTATTTTTTAAATTTTTAATTTTAAAAAATGTGATAAAGATTTGTAATTTTTATTATACATTAATGCTAAAAATTAATATGATTAATTATTTAATTTAAAATGCTAAAAACGTGATGCCTAATTATTATTATTGAAATAATAATTATATTTTTAATGAATTAATTATTTTTCAAATAAAAAATAAGAGATTAAATTTGGGATAGTATAGTCAAATAACATTCAAGTTTCTTCGTAGTTTGTATTAAAAAAAACAAATAAATCAAGCCTTCAACTATATAGCCAATTTCACTATATGTGTAATGCTTTCACTGATATTACTATACAATCCTCCTAACAATCTACTAATCAATCAAATCATTTAATTTGAAAAATTTGGGATCCCAAAACAAAAAATTATCAAAATCATTGCATAAATTACTCAAAATTATAATATTACACAGCAGAAGCAATTTACAAAGGTGCATCCAAGACTAAGAGAACATATATATGTCAATAAAATTAGGTCAAAATTAAAACAGTGCGTTGTGGCTCGTGCCACATGCGCCATAGCATGTGGCATAAAGACCACAGCTACCCGCTCTTTGCCATGCGCCACGACATGTGAATATATGTGCGTGGCGAACACACCTAAATTGGCTGTCATTTTGCAGATTTTGGTGTGAATTTTAGATGTGTTCCGTTTCTGCATCTGATGTCCAATTGGAATAGTTCAAGTGCCCATACAAAACTTGTTTCAAAATCTAACTAATGAAATTAGTTTCATTTCAATTTGATATCCTATTTAAAAGTTGAACACTCAAGTGTATTTTGATCGTTTTAAGTCAAAATTTGCCACTCAAGCATCTCAATTCAAAACTATACATCATTAGCTACTTTTTAGGTCTTGACCACATCTAAATAAACAATATATACCTGATTGACCAATCATATAAACAATATAACACACATGCACAATTGGCCAATAAATTGCCTAAAACACAGATGGGAAAATTCACATTTCTTCTTCCTAATCTCATACAAGGCCATATATTTTTCACATATACTTCAAGTACACCTCATATCCACAATTCAAACACTAGCCCATTCTCACTCAATCATTCACACACATACAGATCACCATAGATACCACAATCACCACTTTATGCATATTCACTGGATCCTATGACAACTTATACACAAGTTTACAACTAACAACAAACAAGTTCATTATATCAAATCCTTACAAAGGATTTAATGAAGGATCTCAACTCTGCCAATGTCTTTTCCCTTTGAACCACTAATGCCAAAACTTGAAAAATATATATAACTACGAGTGAAATAAAAATTTTAATAACCAATATAGTTTGTTAAATATCTATTATCACAAATAACTATACTAAAGTAACAAAAGTAGGGTAATATCATATATATATATATATATATATCAAAGCATGAAAAAATTTCATCTTTTCCAAGTTATTCCACATAATGACACACTAGCATGATCATCTAGCCATCGAACCTCCCATGCTCTTTAACACGAAATCATAAGCTTTGCTGAATCAATCACTCATTGACCTAAACACAAACACCCAGCCAAAGGTAATCTAACCCACCTATAGACTATAATTTCCCTCTTCACACACTTGTGATAGAGGTATTATTGATTCCTAACCGCATCCTAACGGGTACTATGGAGTTGCTAGACTACCTAGATGTCCTATGGTAACAGTCATATAATATGCTATACCTGATTACCTATGGTAACAACCCATATAATGATGCATTAGATGTCACATAGTGTTAGCCCGACCATATGAATTTTTCACTTACATATTTCCATACACTCACATCCCCACATATCTTAAGTAAACTCTCACCCCTTATGATTATACTTTTTTGTCACAATTCTCTGCTCTTTCACATTTGCACACTATATACTTTTATTCATAACATATATATATATATATATATATTTCAAAGCTAGAAATCCTTAAACCTTCTTTTCATAAATCCATTTCATACTAAATTTGTTTTCAATACCAAGTCATGCATAAAAAAACTAACTAAACCACAGTTATACAATTACTTTTACATAGTTATAATAATTAATAAACATAATAAATTGTATGATTACCTCAACCCTTTTATTTATTAGAAAGGGTTACCCGTATTCCAACAGCCCTATTCTAGCTCCTTTTAAAATTTCCATGTCACACGCTAGAGTCTACACAATTTAGGCACCTAGAGTCAATAACTCTATTAATAAAAAGTGCCAATTACAATAATCTAACACCTATTCGCTATCACTTCCACAATTCACTTTCGCTCACACATACCATGCTTAATTATCACTCACCACAACCATCATCTTCCTCACAAACATATTTTCTCTCACTACTCTTTCTCTAGATTAGGGCAAATCGTGCCTATAGCTTCAAAGCTCTATCGTTCTGACTCAAACCAGTCACAAAGTACTAGTTTAGTTTTAAAGAACCTTTCTATTACTATAGGGTAAGAAATCAATCTCTTAAAACTTTCGAACTCAATTTCTCAATAGTTAAAACTAAGAAAAAACGGGGCAGAATCGGAGGTCAAGACAATACGAGACTTACCCAATAAGTAACAGGTTAAAAATATCATCCTTGCTCTTAATTTCACTTGCCCTAGCAAATGTTGGCACTTTTTCCATGTCTGACCCCTCTAACTTTATTTCTCCTTCTATTTTAGGAGTTGTTCCACAAAGTCACTTATCAAAATTATACACCATACACCACAGTGCATCCACTCTCCACCACAGCTTGTGGCATGGTGAGAGAAATCCTAATTATGCTCACATGCTCTGCTCCGAGACCTCATTCTTCTTCTCATATACATTCATATAACACCTTAAAAAGCCAAATACAACACTTCACAATGCAAAACCCTAATCTCATATTAAATCACTAATTCAATCCCTAATTAGCATTAATGCAGGAATAGAAATTTGGGATGTTACAATACGCATATACCAACATGGCAACTTTTTCATACCCCATATGAAAGTGCCACAAGTACATGACCTTAAACTTTATTAATTCTATCTAAAAATTTAACAAGTTTCTAATTTTTTTTTGTAAAAAATAAGCTTATGTGAGTTAGGCCCTAAGAACTCACCAATAAGGCTATGCAACAAGAGGAACAAGTTAGCCTATAATATCTATCTTGACATTACCTAGACATTGCATACATAACACACCATCATGGCAATTAGAAGTTAATTAATTCTCCTAAGTTATAACTCACCATGATAGAAAAAAGTTTAAATAAAATATATTTAAAATCATTTAAAGTTGAGATCCTAATAAACCTTTTTTTAAAACATTAGTTGAGCTCAACACATGGTTAAAAATCAAAGTCTAACACACTTGGAAAGCGTAGGAATTAAATCAAAAATAAAGAAATGGGGAAAAATTGTAATTTTACCCAAAAAAGGGCCATGCACTGCTGCCAGCATGTCATTTCCTATGGTGCATGACACATAAAGATTACTCCCTTCTTATGCCATGCGTTACGGCACACCATGCTATTATGGCAGTGCACCAAAACTAATTTCTTTGTTTAACATCCGATTAAAATGATTCAAGCACCTAAATAAAAATTACTCAAATATCAAGTTAATGGCATCAATCTAATTCCAAAATGATAGTCCATATGAAAATTGAACACTCAAATACAAAATGGTCATTTTTAACAAACTTACACACATCCAAGTGCCCCAATTAGAAACCAAAAGCCATTAGCCTCCATTGAAGCTTGAATGAAGTCAAAGGGGCCGAACAATGACATAATAGAATAATCATATATGTAATAACACAATCCAAACACAATTTAAATATATAAACCCACCCTATATCATTCACCAAAAAGGGGCAATTTCACTAGAATTGGCACTTGGTCACACTCAACCATGTGACCTTTCAATGCAATATCTGCAGCTTGTGGCCTATCTAAGACAGTCCGAACCCAAAACCCTGCATGTTTTATCTCATCTGCCAAACCATAACCCACTTTAGGAGTCAAAATGCTCCTTGCTGCATTCTTATACTTCTCCATTTTCATTGAATACTTGGCAACCAACTTCACCCTCCTATTCCCCTTTGCTGACTCTATCGTGTTCAATCTTTTTACATGCTCACGATCATGAATTTGCTTAAAATGATTAATAAGCTTCACATTTGTATAAAATCTTCCCCCACAGACCCGACAAAGATAAGGTTCATCTAGCCTGATAATACCTTTGTTCTCTAAATGACTCAATAATTTCCTTTCTTTTCTTTGTTTCCTAACATTTTGAGGGACATGGCTAAAAGTATGATGATTTGCATAAGCCACCATATGCTTAACAACACCAAAGTGAGATGCAGCAGCTTTCAGCTTAGTGGCAGCTTCATAAGGTGGCAATGACTTGGGTGGTTTGTTGTCTAAATCCCAAAAAATTTTGCATGGTGGTCGGTGACAATTTCAAATTTTTACCCAAAGCATTTTGACCCACTGTTGTCTCATAATGACAAATTCTCAATGCAGCATATGGGATTAATGATGGTGGAAAATTGGCTTGCACAGCAACAAAGATCCCACAAAATTTGACAATATTAAACATAGGCGATTGGCTGTCCTTTCCAAAATGAATAATAATGACTGTCATAAAAACCATTGAACCAAGTTAAATTTAACTGATGACAGAAAACAAGAGAAACCAAAAAACAAAAAGCAAAATAAAGGGTCTGCTCTGTGAAATAGACATGACAGATGGATGCCAACGGAAATTATTCTCGTTCCACTCTTGAGCCTAATGAGAGAATACCATTTATGCAGGTATTTTTCCAACCAGTGCTCTCATCCATTTTAGCATAATGCTCATGATAACCCAATGCAGCACTAGCGTAACAAGTAAAGTCTCCTCTAAAGCACTTCAACCAGCTTCAATTCAGCATTTAATAACAAAAGTTAAATTCAAGACTATCTACATTAATTCCACAAGCAAAACGTAGCTAATGTCTGCTAATATTCTTCCAAACATTACCAAATATTCACATAAATTTTGGATATTTGATGGGATTCAGAAACAAATTGGATATAGAAGTAACATATCTCCACCGTAAAAGCAATATCACTGTTTGTCTGGTACAAATGCTTCTAGGATGCTCTGCAACCATTTGGGCCCCTTAGGTTGTAAGAAAGAAGTCTAATGGAAAGGGAAGTGAAAGGGAACAAAAAAAGAATGACACGAGGTAACATTGTAACTCAAAGAATGTTCGGTAAGATGGAAAAGAATAGGCATAAAGAATTTTTTTTTTTTATTTGGTTATTGAAAAAGAAACTAAGAATGGAATAAAAACATGGTTAAATTTTGAAAACTCAATGACATCAAAAGTCCAAAATAAATGTTTAAACAATCAAAAATTGAGCACCTCCAGACCCCAAAAACAAAAACATCTGTAGAGCCTAAAATTCCAGGTTACATGACTTAGGTTTTCCAAAATCCAAACCAAATAAACATGAATTTGTCTAAATCTGGTTTTTATTGAAAGGAGGAAAAAAAAAAACTAGTGAATTGATCCACTATTTAAAACCGTGATTCTTTTTTCTCCCTATTTTACACGTTTTTTTATGAGCTCATTTAATTTTGTTCCAGATACTTTAACAAAGACGCCTTAGTAAGGCAATTGATTCAGGCAACTCCTCCAAGCAATGAAGAATGACAAATTAAATTCAAGCTTCTAAATTGTTAGACACAACTCGAGTAAGTCATTGACCAGATCATACATCACAAATACCTTGAGAATTTTCTAAATAGACGAAAATATAAAGAAATAAATAAACATAATGCCAATAAACAACAAATCCAAAGTTGCACAACAAAACAATTCAAAGCATATAAGTCGCTAGTAATCAAAATGAAGAGGTTAAAAGTATAATAACATAGAAAAAGAAGAAAGCATCGCGAAGAACCTAACCTGACAGTGGGGGATAAGATGAAAACGAGAAGGGTGAAGACTTGACGGTCGACGCTACTGTTTTTAACGGTGAAGAAAACGAAGGTCAGAGAAGAGTGAAGAATGTAACCTTCGATCGCTTCTGAGCTCAGTGAAGAGTGAAGAAGACGAAGGCGAAGGCGAAGACGAGCTTGAGCTCGAGCTCCCATTCCCAGTCTGCTACTCTGCCACCATTGAAGAAGTTAGAGAATGAAGAAGGGTGGAATGGAATGAAGGCCAAGGCGGCGAGGCCGATCGACACCGACCGAGAGCTGAGTCTGAGTCTCTTAGGCTGTGTGATGCGTCTCTGAGACAGCTAGAGTGAGACCCGAGGCTGAGAGGGAGAACAGAGAAGTGCGACTGCAAAGACGAGAGAGGCGCCTGCGAGAAAGGAAGAAGGGCTTCCAATTTTCCAAATACCAATTTTGCCCCTTCAAGGACCCGCCCCCGCAATAGAAAAACAAATCGGCGCTGTGGTTATTTTTGGAGCCTTCAAGGTGTAGGGGAGGAGAATCCCCTGCAAAACCTCCCCCTTCCTTTCCCCCTCTCCCTTCCACTCCCTCCCCTTTTTGCTCCCTTCTAACCAAACAAAACTTAAATTCAACTAGCCTTCCACACATTGCACGGATAATAAACAATTAGATTACAATATTCAGTCTAATTAGCAGTGTCAAATAATTTGTTAAAGTATAAATATATCTATAAACTGATGTTTAAATAAAGTCTAATTATAAACATACTTGAATTATCAAGTTTCAATATTTTTCATTTGATTTTTCCCATATCAATTATTTTTATTTGAGAGAATTGAGATTATTTCTATTATTTTCCTCAAAAATTTAATTTCAATTTAGTTCAAATGAAATACATAGGACTAAATTGATGCATAAAAGTTAAACATAATAATGTTAAAAAAAATTGCCATCCATGGAATAAAGTTACAATCAATTTAGTATATTTGATTATTAAGAATTACCATACACGTTGGAAAAAAAAAAAATCCTTGTAGCATTATGGAGATTGTTCAAATTGTTATCATATGACAAATCAATAGATGACTTTCACAAATTGATAAAAATTCTTAAAAAAAATGATATAACTTTAAAACCACACAAATATAAAATGATATCAAGTCAATAAATAAGAATAAAATAATTATGTAGAAAGAAGGAAAGAATTATAATATACTAAAGTAATGTGGGAATTTCCATTGGGTGCACATTGTACCATCAAGTTAGGAAAGGGTATTAACATGCTGTAACCAAAAAAATTCAAATATTCAAATTAAATTAAATCAATTTCATAAATAAACATTAAAAAAAAATTGATGACATATAGTTCGTAGTATTCATGAAATTGATGAAATAAAAAAAATCAAATTGAGACTGAGGAAAAATCATGTTGATGTACATGTGGATTGTTTTTTGGGATCAGAAGAACATAACATTGTATAATATTCTTCAAATAAGAACATTCTAGTACCAAAATGCTAATCCTGGATAAACAACCTGAGGCTAAACATAAGAAAGCAAAGTAAAGAAAGGAGTCAAGCAAATACAAAGAGAACGGTATATAGAGTAAGAATGTAATCACCAAAAAAACAATTCTGCTTCTATTACCCAGCAATTTAAAAAATTAAAACTTACAATTAAGAATTTGCACCAACACAACATAATTGCTAGTAACTGTCTCATGAACTTGCATCTCATTGGCAATGAAAAAACTAATTCATTAAGTCCCCATACCAAACCGCAACTTAAAGGCCAAATATTGCATCCTCTAAGCATGAGCCGGTAACTCATTGGCAATATTATGATGAATGATTGGGAAAAATGGAAGCCAATTGTTCTCGTCAATAGGAACACCGGTTGATAAGCATGTTTTGGAAGAAATTGATTCAGCGATCAGCACAATTTCAAAAAAAGTAATAAGTCAATTAATTGAAAAGATTATATCATAATCTTATTAGTAACCTTGAGAAAGAACTTCTGCTCTCCTTTTTATATCCTGTAAAAACATTTCAAAGTAGTCAAGTAATTGTTTTTTTTTTTTGGACCAGCAAAGAAGTGATTGCATTTAAATGATACTGATATATATTAAGGGAACAACTGAACATAAGCAAGAACTTACAAGTGTAGCGCATAACAGAAGCAAACTCACCAATGAAACCAAGGTATGGACCTATGGCTTCTTTTTGTTAAAAAAAAAAAAAAGGTAATAAACGTGTATGAGTTCTTCATTGGTAATAAAGCTTAAGCTTGATAAAACATATCAATACATATAAAAAAAATTTAAAACTGTGACTACATCTAGCAAAAGTAAATAGAAGAATATTATTGAGGCGCCAATACTAAACTCCACATTTTTTTCCTTCTACTTTCATCCCCGGAAAATAAGTAACAACTAAAGCAACTCCTTGTTGCATATCTCACAAATTGTATCTCCTTTCTCATTACACCAATGCTGAATGCACTTTTGATGAGCAAACTAAAATAATCAGCAAGCACTCATCACTTAATTAGCAAATACCAAATGAGACATTAGAAAATAACAATCACTAACCAGATATACCATCTTTCCAAGCCATGAAAAATGCAGGAATGAAAAAACATTACAAAAACAACTACACAATAGTAACCAAAAATCATAAGAGAAAAAACTATTGCAACTTGTAGTATGTTTTAAAATGTTATCTCTCTATTGCATCAAGAAGCAAGAAGGAGAAGAAGACGAAGAAGAAGAAGAAGAAGAAGCTAGACTAAATAAGCATACCCAGAAACAGACAGAACAGTTGTAAAGATGGGATTTATCAAACATGGAATTACCTGCAAATTCAAAATATTATAGGCATACCAAAAATCATCACAAGCCCAATGCAATTCTGGAGCATCAGTGAAAAATCCGTTGATAATGAAATGATAATGACATATACCAACTGGGAGTGTTTTTACAGCAACAGAAAACGGCCCAAGTCTCTATAAAGCGTTACTGGCAGAGAAAAGACAGAACAATTTCAAATATCAAAATTATGATTTTAAAATCAAGGAACTGGAAGAACAAAAAGTGTTGATAACAATGAATTAATTATGTGGTTTCCCAGTTGTCCAATGATCCTGCAATAACTGCATCATTCCCAGGATAATTCCATGAGACCTTCACTCTTGCAACTGTCCATGAACCGTTGATTCTGTACCATTTCCCAGGAACCCAATTCTTGCTAGTAGTCCAAGAGATCTTAAGTCATGTTTGGTACATTAGAATTGGATCCAAGAGAAATGAAATTGAAATTGGAATCATACTTTCAATTGTTTGGTATGCATGAATCCAATTCCTTATGGATTCCAATTCTACCAAAATACCTAGAATTCAATTCCATCTCCATCATGATGGAATTGCCACAATTCCATGAAATTGTCATAAGTGCCCCACATACACACTCCATCATGATGGCTGAGTTTTTTATTTTTTTTATAAGAGCATTTTGGTCTTTATCTATTTTAAATACATATATTTATTAATATTATATTCAAATTTCATCTTCATACCAAACACACTTTTAAAACTCAATTCTATTCCGATTCCGATTCCAATTCCAATTCCGATTCCAATTCCGATTCCATTAAAAACTCTTCCATCATTCCATTAATAATGCTAAATTTTTTATTCTCAAAGGCTAAATTTTATTTGGTTTTAGGAAAATGATGATAGATATGAACCTTGAGAACAACTTGACAATCATAAGGAGTGACGACATCAATATTGACCAAAGAAGGCATGGATGCTAAAATAGCACAAGAAAACAAATTAGGTTAACCTTAATTGCTTAATGAGCCAAAAAACAAATTTCAAAAAAGTGAAAAAGAAGCATGATAGCATTAGCATCATTAATGTTTGCAGGTGAAGAGATTCCCGCTAACCTTTCTTTTCTTTTCTTTTCTTTTTTTAACCTTCCTCTTGCTTCTTCTCCCTCTTTACCTTGGCTTTATTCGATTTCCCTCTCCCAGACTTCGGCACCATTTTCTTCAAGATGAAAGGAATTTAATCTGATTAGGAAGAAGAAGAGAAGAACAGAAGAAGAAACTAAAAACCTCATTCGAGAGAAGCCATCACAATCAAGAATCGGAGCGATGAATTTGACATGAAAGCTCATTTGAGATAAAAGGATCTGGTAATGCACCATGATTAAATTTTACATGCCTAGGGGTGTATGATTTTCACAGCTTCTATGCTTCTAGGGCATAGTGTTGAGCAAAATCGGCTGTTATGAGGTATCAACCATCTTGAGGGAGAAATGCGAAGGGAATGAAGACTGTCTTGAAAAAGTTGAAATCGAGACGAAAATAAATAGATGTTTAGGAGAGGGTTGGCTCTTGCTAGGGTTCTGCTGTGCTAAGAAGAAGAAAGATATATTCTGTGTCTCTCTGTCGCTCCGTTTCTCACTTTGCACCGAACAGTCGAGAGAGACCCATCCATTATTTCTTCAAGATGGAGACCGGAGAGTATTGAGAGACGCAAAGTTGCATTGGGAAGAGAAGCGGAGATGAATGGAAAAGTTGCGGATAGAGCGCTCCCATGAAATTTGAATTTGACATTTAAAATTAAAAAATAAAATGCATAATAAATAAAATGAATCAATGACGGAAGATAGTTTAAATTTAAATAAAGTTAATTGATCAATGACATGAAAGGTCCGTTTGAATATTAATTGAAAACAATTGATTATAAAAAAATTAATTATTAAAATATGATGGTGTTTGAATAAATTTTTAAAAATTAATTTTGATAAAATTAAAAGTGTTCAGATAAATTTTTTAAAATTAATTTTAAATGGGTAAATTATAATAAAGTACATTCTTTTTTATAATGTAATAATTTTTTTATCAATTTTTAATGTAATATTGATCAAATGAATCCATGCAAAAATATAAATCTATGTATCTAACTTAAAATAAATTTAATAAAAGAGATAAATACAAATTTTAAATATTAAACATATAGTTTAATGTAATTTTTATTGTTTACTGGCATTAACCACACATGGAATATGTGTACCATCTAATTGCATTTTTTTTTTTAAAAAAAAAGCCACGATTGTATATCATTTTGTAATTTTGTTGATATATGACGAAATGTTTGATCTTGTGGCTCGATACATTTCATTGCAAGCATATTGCAAGTTGATAAAACATCATGAAAGTGCTTGTTAATAGTTTCTCTTGAGTGTTGAAACCTTTCTTGCACCATCCTATTTCCTAATCCATGTGCAAACATATTTAAAAATATTGCAACCATTTCTTAGACTCCCATTCGCCTAGTTTCTTTCAATCCACACCTTGCCAATTAAATACATAATTGATCAAACACCTGTTTTTCCATTCTAAATATTTTATAGCAACGAATTAGATGCCCTTCTAAAATCTCATTAACCAAAAATTATAATAAAGTACATTCTTTTTTATAATGTAATAATTTTTTTATCAATTTTTAATGTAATATTGATCAAATGAATCCATGCAAAAATATAAATCTATGTATCTAACT